AGTGAGTTTTGCCCCATTCTATGACCTTCCTTGCCACAGTTGTTAAGTGAATCACTATGGTTGTTAAGTTAGTAACACAGTTGTTAAGTGAATCTGGCTTCCCCATTGACTTTGCTTGTCAGAAGGTCGCAGAAGCGGATCACATGATTCCAAGGCACTGCAACCGTCTTAATCATGAATCAGTTGCCAAGCATCTGAATTTTGATCACATGATCTTGGGGATGCTGCAATGGTCATGTGAAAAGCTGTCATGAGTCACTTTTTTCAATGCCGTTGTAACTTCGAACGGTCACTAAATGAACTGGTGTAAGTCAAGGACCACCTGTATTTGTCATAGAATTCCTCAGTGTCTTCCATTTTTTTCTGTTTTCTTTTTTTTTTTTTTCTTCAACAGAAAGGAGAGGGGAAAAAAACCACTGTCCCCAAGATCTGCCTCCAACAGAACAAAAAACTGTAATATTTAACAGGAAATAAGAGCCTATAGCAGTGATGGCTAACCTTTTTGCCATCGTGTGCCAAAAGTGGGGGGACTGCGGGGGGGTGTGCGTGTGTGTGCCCATACCCATAATTCTATGTGCCCTGCGCATGTGTGTGTGACCCCCCCGTGCTTCCCCTGTTTCTGGCATGTGATGGCCTAGTGGGCCCGGTAGGCCCGTTTTTCGCCCTCCCCAGGCTCCAGAGCCTTTCTAGGAGCCTGGGGACGGTGAAAACGGCCTTCTCCACCCCCACCATCTGGAGGCCCTCTGGAGACCAGAAACGGCCTGTTTGCCAACTTCCAGTGGGCCCAGAAGGCCCAAAAATCAGCTGGCCGGCGTGTGCATGTGCGCCGGAGCTGAGCTCGCGTGCCCATCGATATGGCTCCACGTGCCACCTGTGGCACACGTGCCATAGGTTCGCCATCACGGGCCTATAGAATGCAATGGGATTTACTAAAGTCATATTTATCACCCCATATTCACTACATTTTTTCCCACAAATTCTCTTTGTCCAAATGTATGTGTGCATCCATCTGCAAAGAGATGAGCAGCTACGCTCAGGGTGTGTTCATTGATGGCTTTACATCAAAGAGGAGGGACAACTCAGTGGAGTATTACAGGTCTTTGTGCACAATTGCTTTCTGCAGTTCAAACATTTTAGGAATTATCGGAATGAGAGTGAAGGGGCAATGTTTAATAAAATGTAGCTGACACAGAACTAAAAGGGTTATACTGGGCTATAGAAATCAGACTGAGAACTCAAAAGGGTTTTGGCAGGCTGGAACAATGAATGGAAAAAAATTACCATTGAATTATAATTGTATATGATAAGACCAGAGCAATATTTATTACGTGGAGTATAATAATATTTGCATTTATTTTCAATTTAATTTTAATTAAATTCATAATAAAATTATTTTTGTCCTGACCCATACACATTTTGGAGTATGCCTTCTAGTACACCATTCAAAAATGAAAAATTTCTTGACTGAAACCCATTGAAATTCAACGAATATAAGTATAAACTACAGTATGTATGAAAATATCAGACAAACAAATTGAACGAGAACCAGCTTGGCATCCGTACATTTTTAAAATATCTAGATTTATTACTGGATTACAGCAGGATGATGTCCTGCTGTAAAACACAAATTTTAGTTGCATTAAGAAAAATTCCAGATCGTGAAGTCCTAGTCTGCTCCATTCTGCATCACATAGCTGCTTCAGAAGCATTAATCCACATTTGAAGAAGGCTTCTGGTAAATGAAAGCGCATCTGCAAAAGAGCCAGCAGCATGGCAAGGAACTGCAAAGCCCAGACCTCTAAGCTTAAAAGGACTGGCTATCTGTAGTCATGAGAAGAGAAGATTAAGGAGAAGCATGACAGCTGTTTACCAGGATATGAAAATCTGCCATGCAAAAGATGGATTAGTCTTGGTATGTTTTGTTCCAGAGGGCAGGATCACAACCATTCGTTTGAAAGTTTAGGGCTAAGATTAGAAGAAATTCCTGGGTGTCGGAGTTCTTCAAAAGTTGCACCAGGAAGTGATGATCTGGCTTTCAGCTTGTTGGACCAAAGGAAAATGGAAAGCTGAGTGGTGTTCTTACATGGTTGTGACTTTTCATGTCCCTGTAATGCAAAGCAGGATCACTTTCGAAATGTGTTCCCATTTTGCCTCAAAGAGCTGATTGTTTGGTTTGTTCAAACCAAGTGGAGAGAAAAGTCAGATTGTGATATTACAGGACTTCAGCATTGCATTTGCATTCAAAGCTGGATCAGTGTCAAATTTTGCTCCCATACTGCTTGGAGAAGCCAATAGCAAAATCAAGATTTTCTACAGTTGCTGCTAGAAAAATAAAGCGCCTGTCTAAAATGAACATGGAAAAATGGTGTGAAGGGAGGCCCCAAAAATAAAATTTAAGATTTCAGGAATTATACAAAGCTAAACGAACAAACAAATTTCATTTATCAGTTTAAGAGGCTATGACACCACAGAGTTTGAGAGCTTCTGGCTTAATGATTTAATGCTGCAACATGTGCAATATGGAGCTTATAGAGCCTGCGCAATTCAATAGTTTTATGATTAAAATGAATTAAGGATGCCTTAGTCTCTGGAAAAACTAATACACTTCTGGTCTTAATCCACTATACTGAAGTGATTGCTACACGGGAGGAGTTAAATTCAACTGCAGCAATTAGATAATAGTAATTATAAAATTTGAATATATTATAAATGTATACAAGTTTGGCTAAGCTCTTCACTGGTGAAGTTGGATTTTGTGATTACTTTTTCTCCACAGTTCCAAAATATGTATAGATGCTAAATATTTTGTAGACCTTATCGTGGGATATTTTCAGCTTTAGTTTTCAGTTGGATGAATTCTATCCTATTGCTATCAATGAAATCATAGCCTGTTGTTAAAAGATAAAGACACTTGGATTCAACTATTTTAGATTTATAACGGTTTGGCCTCTCTCGTCCCCAGTTGTTAAAACTCATCCAGCAACCTAAGAGTCAAATACTCTGAGGAGTATAACCCAGCTAGAATAACTAAACGTTTCCCTGAAAGAGATAGTTTATGTATAAGAGTTTGGACTGCCTTTTCAGTAGTTGCGCACCCCACAAGAAAAGATGGTCCAAACATATGACAGACAGATCAAATGTTACTGTATTTGTTGAAGGACTTAACTCCTTTTGGCATTAATATAAACCTGAGAATCTCAGCAAAGTGGTGTGTATGTTGTAAGACATGCCAGCTGCCCCAATCACATGTTTGTTCTTTCACATCTACACAAATGATATGATCTGTTAAATTCTGGGATTACATGAGTCCACTCTTCCAATGGAATTAAATGCTGCAGGATGGATATAGTTGCTGCTGTTTCATTTAGTTTCCATATATCTTCTACATATTTGTATTTTTTTATTATTTTTTTCCTGCTGTTCATTTTCTCCCCACCAACAAGCAGTGTTTTGAGGTTGGGTAAGTAAATACACATCACTCAGTTTTAATAAGGAGTAAAAGAGAAAGATAAATCTTGTTGCATCTAATTTAACTTTAGGACCACGGAGAGAGGTTGAAAAATGGTATTCCCTGGACTTTCATTCTTCTAATGTCTTTTCCACCTTCTTACTAAAGAAGTTTAATTAGTTCCATAAAATGGTGGACAACCACCTGGGCTCTCTCTGAAAATTTCCTGGGATATGTCAGGGGAGGGAGTGGGGGAGGGGTTTCCCAATGCAGTGGCTTAGGAAACCAGGCAGAAAAGGTCCTGCCAAAAGAATCAAAATTCTTAAGGCAGCTCAAGGAAGCTTGTTTTCTCATTTGGAGAAACATTTGGTTATAAACATACTAAAAGTAAATGATGTGGTAGAAGACAGATTGCTTTTGAGCATATATTCTTTGCTAGGGTTTTTCTTTTTTTGGCCAAAATTTGTATTTGCATAATGTAAATGCAGTGAATGAGAATACAGTACTCCGTAGGCACTTTCCTGCCCCCTTCACACCCAAAATAGCCTTCATGTGGCAGAATACCCCCTGAAATTGCATCCAAGTTCAGAATTGATGGACATGCAAAGACCTACAAGTCTGGTCGTCCGGCATTTAGGCTTGCCTGAGCTGCTTTGAATGTATAAGAATTGCCTTGGGCGGCATATAAAATATATAACATAGTTAATGTATATAAACAATAAACTTCCTTTATTTTTTAATATTTTTATTATCTTGTGCTGCCATATTACTAGCAGTCCAGGCACACATGTGGCCTGTGGGTCACAGTTGCATATTCCTGGCCTAGAAGCTATATTGCAGTGATGGCTAACCTTTTTGCCATTGCGTGCCAAAAGCGGGGGGAGTGCAAGGGGGGTTGCATGTGGATGTGCCCACACCAATAATTCAATGTCCCCCTATGCCCCCCCCCCTGTGCATGTGCGTGTGATCCCCTGCTGTGCTCCCCTCGCTTTTGTCACTCAATAGCAAAAAGGTTACCGGTGGGCATGATAGGCCTGTTTTTCACCCACCCCAGGCTCCAGAGGTTTTCTTGGAGTCTGGGGAGGGGGAAAACAGTCTCCCCCACCCCACCACCCCAAGAGTCTCCACACGAGCCCTGTACTTACCTGGCATCCAAAACGGGCCACATGGAGACTCCTGGGAGGGGAGGGGTGGTGTGGGCGGGGCCAGCCGAAAATCAGCTGGCTGGCCCACATATGCACACTGGAGCTGAGCTAGGCAACGACTCACGTGCCTACAGATATGGCTCCGCGTGCCACCTGTGGCACACATGCCATAGGTTCGCCATCACGGCTATATTGCTTAGCTTTGATTGGGTGATAAATGTGAAAAGAAAACATAGTTAACTTTGTTCTGTTCCTTAGCCATTATTTCAACTTCCAAAATATCCCATCTGGCTTCCTCTTGTGGTCAAGCAACTCTTGAAAACTCCACACAACTGGAACACAACATCCTAATGTTTAGCAAACATATTCTGGACTGTTTAGCTAGCCAGTATTTGTACAGTGGGATTCTGGGGGGGGGAACCCAGACTTTTGCTTGCAATTGCCATAGTGAGAGTCAGATTGCCGTTTTTCTAGCTTTGGAATTAAGTGAAACGAATAGGGACTCTCTTGTGAGCCTGAAGGCAGACTGCCCTGCAAAACTGTCTGGTGCCTGTCACCCTAACGCTGCTTAATCCTGGCAAGGCTGACTGGGAGGAATATGGCGAGGGCAGAGAGCAGTGAGAATGCCTGGAGGCTCAGCACCAGGACGGAGAAAGCTGGCACCTCACAGGTTAATTACATGAGCGGCCAGTTCCCTTATTGACAGGGTAGCTTAGAAAATGCTGAGGCAGGACATACACTGCAGAGTGTCAGAGCCGCGGGAGCTTCTGCTCCCAGATGCCTGCCTGCTTCTCTCTCTCTCTCTCTCTTTCCCTTACTCTTTCTCTCACACACACACATCCCCACAGCACAGTCCCTGCACATACCTCCCCAGCAAGCCTGTCAACTTAGCCTGCTTTTCCGTCAGCAGAGGTACCTCTTCTCTGATGGGAGCTAGCCAACCATCCAGCCCTACTCCAGCTCTGTGACAAGAACAGGTTTGGGCTCTGCTTCTTGGCCTTTTCTCTCTAAGCATCGGGTATTTTGTGCTCAACCCACTCTAATCTACTGATTGTTGCTCCTTTACTTTCTTGGTCCACCTGGAACATTTCACTCCTACCGTCCCTCTCTGCAATCCCTGCACGAAGCTGGTACATCGGATACTCATGGCCGGCTCTGAGGCACAGAGCGGCCTGCAGCCTTTGTCAAGAAGGCTGTGCCTGTGAAAGGGGAAAACCCAGTCGGCATCCCAGGACAGAGGACCAGGGGTGGGGGAGATATCCAGCGACCTGAGACAGATCACCTCTCCGTGGCTCTGTGGACATCTTGGCTGTCAGCATGATGATGTATTTCTGGGTAGGTCCCTGTTTTGGGTTGGGTAAATCCCGGTTAAATTTGTGTGTGTGCTGTTGGTTGCTTTCAGAGTTTTGCAGAGTGTTTGGTGGATGATGTTACCAACTAGGAGCTTTTGCTCCGACTTATTCTTCCGGGTGGGTGTGGATCCCTGAATTTAGATTCTGCTTGCCTGTTCTAGATCATGTGAATTTCAGTGGGTTTACTGCTTGATTCCATTTGCCTGACTGAATATCGGATACTTTAGATGTTGTTGCCCAGAAGATATTCCTCCATTTTTTGGAAGAAAGTTAGCATCCTATTTTCTTCGTCTAATTTATTGTCATGGAAATAAATGAAAAAAAAAACATTCCTAAAATGATAGTATTTACAGAGGTGTATTGCATTTACAGGCCATTATGGGCATGGATCCCAGTTGGACATGCCTGCTACTCGCTCTCTTTGTTTCTCCATCCAGAGCTCACTGAACTTGCATGTGATGGCAACTAAAATCTTCAAGGAGAAGAGCCAACTCCAGTTGCATATATTAAGTTGAAGTGAAATACACTGGGATGTCATCTGGTATCCTAGATGGATGTGGTGTAAATGTAGATTGGAGTGATATGAAATCTTACAGCAGCCTATGACTTCTCAGCCATTTTTGTGAGCATCATATCTGAATTTGCAGCACTTAAATCCACATGCCATAGATTGCCGGGGCCAACTGGAAGCCTGTCTAGCCTTTGCCTTCTGCTGCACCATTTTCCTTGTGCAAAAAAGGTAAATAGTTAAAACTGGAAGAAAGGCACAGTGCAACGGGACTATGGATGACCGGTTTAAATCTTGGATTTTCACTCTTCATAATTTTAACCTAGAGAATACTAGTGAATTTTAAGGCATAAAAAAGGGAAAGCTTTCTGATAACCAGAAATATACTTCAAGCTTGAATGTGTGCATGGTGAGAATGAATCAAGATGCTGATGAAAATAGCGTCTTGCTTCAACTCACTCCAAAAATGCCATAACGTTTCCTAAGAAAATGAGTTCCAGGTGTTTTGCTTGGAACCAATATTTCCTTCCCTACTCATATTTTACAACTTCATTTTAAACAACATCAAACAGTGTTTCTTCCTTCCTTCCTTCCTTCCTTCCTTCTCTTTCTCCCTCTCTCTTTCTCCCTCTCTCTCTTTCTCCCTTTCTTTTTGGATGAAAGTTATCACCCTATTTTCTTCTTCTAATATATTATTGTGGAAAGTGTGGATTTCCTATTCTAAAATTGATTGGACCACCTCAGAACCCATAAACCTAACTAATGCCAGTTAATAGGAAGAGCCACAGTGAAATTTGCTAAATTGTTGGAGAAGCATGAATGATCACTATTGTAGAGTGGGTGACAATGTGACTTAGGGATAGAGAGTTACACAGATTCTCCGAACAAGTCTGCCATAAGAACACCCTGTGGTCGATTGTTTTCTGGTACTAGCAAATTGACTAAGAATTGCTAAACTTTGAGCTTGCTTGTTTGAAAAGCAGACTGCAGCAAGTCCTGAGCAATTCCCTCTTTAGAGAACAGGTTTTACTGTTTTTGTAATTATTATTAGAGAAAAGGCATAGGCCTTTCTGCATTCTCTCTCCCATGTTGAATGCATGTGTACTTCTGCCATTTTGTGTGAGGAAGGGCTGCCAGTTTGGTCTAGTGGTTAAAGCACCAGGCTAGAAATCATGGGACCATGAATTCAAGTCTTGCCTTAGTCATGAAAGCCAGCTGAGTGACTTTGGGCCAATCATTCTCTCTGTCAGCCCAACCCACCTCACAAGATTGTTGTTGTGGGGAAAATAGGAGGGGAAGGTATGTTGGATATGTTCAGTTATTTGTAAAACTAATAAACGCAGGATACATATTAAATAAATAAGTAAATTACTGGATTGCACAACAGATGCAAGAGTCCTGAATCTAGTCAGGGAATGCTTCTTCCACAAGTTGCTCGTATCTAGTTATGAGTCTCACAGGTCACTTCCTAGCCATTCTCAGTGGTTTTTGTGTCTGCAGCACTGATTGTGAACCAATCACTATCTGTCTTTTTAAATGGTAATTTTATTAAACATTACAATTAAAATGATATAAACTAAGAAAAATAAAAGAATGAAAAGAAAAAATAGAAAGTGCAAAAAAGATAGAAAGAAAAATAGAAAACAATGTATAAGAACATAGAAGAAAAACGTGTAAAGTGACTTTCCCCTTCATCACATATATAAACAATTTTAGTAACTTATCACCTTTTTTAAAAATACAAGAAATGTTATCTTCTTCCCATATCTCAGTTCTTATCTATAAACAAACCTCACTGTTCGGTTCTGATCTGCAAAAGTCCATTGTGGATTACCAGAGGTAGAAATCTATTTTAAATTTGACCAAATAAACCAACTTTAAATTCCTTTTTTTAACTTTTAATAAACTTTAATCCCTTCAAATGATGTGCTAGAGTCTGATTTCTTTCATTTTTTTCTTCATCCCTTCTAACAAAATTCTTCAAAACTATAACAGATCCCTTTTGTAAATCCAATTTAGGAAAGTTATCCAAGACAGTCTTTCAGTTTGTTATTTATATATCCATTTTATTTAATTATTCAAAAAATATGGCCACCCAACTCATTCAGTGATTCTGAGTGGCTTACAAAAATAAAAAACCAATATAAAAACAGTTAAAAAGCAATAACCACCCACCCCAAGCAAAAGCAATCAAATAAATAAATACAATTTAATTATGAAGACATCCGCCTGTTTCATTTTTGTATCTGGTGAAGCAACTTTTTCTATATCATTGTTGTAGCCTGGTACTTTTAAATATATTTTCAAATCAGTTAAGTCTTGTCCGGTAAAACCTATTCCTCTTCCATAACATAGTTTAAAGATAATCTATCTATAACGATAGACATTCTTAAAATTAACTTCTGGATCCATTGTTCACAAATATATTTCAATACATCCTATGTTAAAGTATTTTGTTCTATTTTATATTTATATTCAATATAATATATTTTATATTAATAAAATACAGTCTATTAATAAGTCAAATCTGTTCTTCTCCTGTAATTGTAATTTTCAGTTCCCACTAGTGTCCAGCCTTTAAAGTCCAATCCTATTGTATGTGGGTTTTTTAAAAAAAGAAAAATCAAAATAACAGCATTTTCCCATAAAAAGGATTCTTATAATTAATTTCAGAATTTTATTTCAAATACTTCTTGACCATTGTCCAGGCATAACTTTCCAAAAACAATATTGTAAATCACTAATTTTGCTGTTTATTCCAAAAAGAAGGAGAAGGAAGAGAGGGAAAAGGAGGAGAATTTTTAAAAATCCTTAAACTTGTATTGAAAACTTCTTTCACTAAGGATTGAAGGAAACTCACCTATCAAATTTGTGCTATAAAGTTTGTTGCTCCAAAGGTTTCTAATACCTGAAAAGCAGTTAACAAGCAATTTCCAAAAGTGATTAGAAAAGGAAGTATGCGAATCCTGTGTCCATAAAAGCACAAACTGCTGTTTGGGCAAAAATGGTGTTCCCTTGTCTCCCAGAACTCTAAACCCATCAGACACCACTGACTTGTGGTCTCCTCGCAAGGAGTGACTGGAGCATTTGTGAGCAATTCCAAGTCCTCTTCCTGTCCAGAGAATGATCCATTTGCCAGCTCTTCATTCCACGTTTAACAGAGCTGTCTTCCATTCACTAGTCCTTCCCTGGAAGTTCTACCATATATCTGCCTTAAGATATGTGTGCTATTTGTGTGTATGTATGGAGGAAGAGGTGCATAAAATATAATCTCTCTCTTGATTTGGGAATAACAATTAAATATTTCTTAGGAATAGCTTTGTTCAAAAAAGAATAAGGACATCAACAATCTTAGGATTCATTAATGCCTGATTTTGGATTTACCTAAGTAACAGCCATAGCCAAGAATCAACAATCCCTCTGTCTGTTTCTTGGAAAAGCCTATTCACTATCCTGAGTTGTATGCTGAGTAGGGCAATTAATTAACCGATTGATTAAATTGGCCCTGCAGTATTGCAGGACTCCTTCTACACATCAGAGTCCCAGGAACTAAATCTTAGAAATTGAAGGCAGGATACATTAGGAGCCAGGGGCAAACAACTGGGGTAGCGGTTTTAGAGATGGACAAGAAGCAAGAACTATTGAAGACTTAATGTCATTTACCTCCAAGCTGTCTGCATATCCATTCAGATGAATTCTCCTTCTGAGGAGACAATAATTAATAAGGTAGCAGGGGTGGTGATAGTTTCTGCTTGGCTGTATAAGGGATATGGAGGGTAAGATTTGTATTCCAATACCTAATGACATCAGGTTGAAGAAATCTGTGTTGATGGATCTGCTTAAGATGGAATGAATCTTTTTCTTTCCCATGGGACTTGTATGCTTGGTCAAAAAAACAACACCGCAAAGTTCTGGGGTGCCCACCCTTTCTAGAAGACAATATGCCCTGAGATATCCAAGTTATGTTTGACAGGGGGAAAGATTGAGAAATGCCCCTGCCACCCATAATAATTACCAACTGTTACTGCACCATTTCAGAGGTATGAGCTTGACTCACCCTTTTGTTGGGTAGATTGCTGAGATAATGAGTTTGGACAATAAACATGCGGTGTCAATTAAGAATAGTAATAGCGAATGTGTGAAGAGGTCTGGGAAGGGCAAAACCTCTTTGTCTTGGTGAGACACATAATGAATAGTGGCGGGTTTGGGAGAATGCCTATTCACAGATGGCAGGAAATCATTTTCTAAGAACAAAGAGATTGGCACCCAATTTTTTTTTTCCTTGCCCATCATACACACCTGACTCTTCAAATCTGAGCTTGCACTGCCTAACGCTATCTTCCACTTTGTATTATCACAGGAGCTGAAACACTTAGAAAACGTGATCTTAGAAATTGTTCTGAATCAGACAGTGTACATCTGGGGAGGGCCTGGGGTTACTGTGTTCAAGAGATTATTGATTGATTGATTGATTG